AGACAGAGAGATAGTCAGGGGAGCAGAGAGAGGGGAGGGGAGGTGGCCAGGGTCCTTCTAAAGGATGCATAGTGAATTTGCACAGGTGTTGCTCTTCGTGGTTGCAGCTGAGCGCAAATACTCTTAGAACCCAAGAACAGAATACTAATAGAATACTAATAGACACAGACCTAGAAAATATTTTGAGAGAGGGAATTCTAATTGAGAAATTGCTTCCATAAAGTTTCTCTGCTGACAAAACTGTGGCACATGTTATTGATTAATGATTGATGTGGGATGGGCCAGTTTACCATGGGTGGTGCCACCCCTGGGTAGCTGATACTAGGATGTATAGGAAAGAATGCTGTGAAAGCTATATGGAGAACCTTGTAAAGGAACATTCTTCAACCACTTCTTCATGAGTTTCTACCTCTAGTTTTCTGTGTTTAGTTACTGTCCTAACTTCCCTTGGTGATGGAGTTTAACTTCAGAGCAGTAATCTAAAATAAATCATTTCCCTCTACAGTTGCTATTTTAATGTTTTATTATGGAAATAGAAACTCCAACTAAGTAGGACAATAGCCATTTTCACAATGACTGAATTATTTCCATCTTCTGATGTGTTTCTCAATTTCCTACTTCAGACACTTCATTATACTGGTATTTCTCCATCATGGGTTGATTCATTCTAAGATTTTAAAAATTATCTGCAATGCTAGTGTTCTCCAGATTTCATTCTTTGACTAGTGCCTGCTAGTATATAAGAAGACTTTTTCTGAATCCAGCGTGGGACTGACTCAGAACCCCTGAACATGGGTCTCAGCTAGCAGGCCTGAGCAGTATAACGGTCCTCATACAGTGGAACCAGGATGTATTTCAAGTGCACAAAAGGACTTTGTGGGCACATCCCCCATGGAGGGATACTCCCTTAACCTAGAGACTAGAGGAAGTCCTATTCCCTACTCCAAAAGACTTGAAAGATTTAGATGACCCCTCCTGAAGGGCAGCCCTCTACATGTGGAGTGGGTGGGGGATGGAAGGGGAGGATGGTTGGGGTGCATGTGAGGGTGGGAGAGATGGAAAGAAGGAGCGAGGGAAAGAAGGAGAGAGGGAGAGAGGGAGAGGGAACTGGGATTGATATGTAAAATAAAAAATAAAATAATAAAAAAGAAGACTTTTTCTGAACTAATTTTGTGTCCTCTTATCTAACTGAATGCATTTATCCCTTGTAGAAGTTCTCTGGTGGGAAAACAACCCTGTACAATAAAGGAACTTCTGGAGGCATCACCATCCCTGACTTCAAGCTATATTATGGAGCTATAGTCTGAAAACAGCTTGGTACTGGCACAAAAATAGCCAGGAAGACCAATGGAATCAAATTTTAAAACCTTGATATTAATCCACACACCAACAAACACCTGATTTTTGATAAAGAAACTAAAATTATACAATGAAAAAAAAAACCAAGCATCTTCAACAAATAGTGCTGGCATAACTGGATTCTGACCTGTTGAAGATTGTAGATAAATCCATATCTATCGCCACACACAAAACTTAAGTCCAAATGGATCAAAGACCTCAACATAAACTCAGCCACATTGAACCTCTAAGAAGAGAAAGTGAGAGGTACCCATGAACAAATTCATACAGGAGACTGCTTCCTGAACATAACTCCAGTAGCACAGACACTGAGATCAACAATTAATAAATGGGACCACCTGAAACTGAAAAGCTTCTGTAAGGCAAAGGACACAGATGACAAGACAAAACGGCAGCCCACAGAATGGGAAAAGATCTTCACCAACCCCACATCTGACAGAGGCTTATCTCCAAAATATACAAAGAACTCAAGAAGCTAGTCCCCAAAACACCAAAGAATCCAATTAAAAAGTGGGGTATAGAACTATATAGAGAATTCCCAATGGAGGAATGTAAAATGGCTGAAAGACACTTAAGAAAGTACTCAACATCCTTAGTTATCAGGGAAATGCAAATCAAAACAACTCTGAGTTACCATCTTACTCCTGACAGAATGGCTAAAATAAAAAACACCAAAGACCATTTATGCTGGAGAGGATGTGGAGAAAGGGGAACACTCCACTGTTGGTGGGAGTGCAAACTTGTACAGCCACTTTGGTGGTTCTTCAGGAAAAGGGGAATGAGTCTATCTCAAGATCCAGGAATTCCACTCTTAGGCATATACTCCAAAGATGCACATTCATATTACGACATCTGTTCGATTATGTTCATAGTAGCATTATTTGTAATAGCCAGAACTTGGAAGCAATCTAAATGCCCCTCAACTGAAGAATGGATGGAGAAAATGTGTTACATTTACACAGTGGAATACTACGCAGTGGGGGGAAAAACAATGGAATCTTGAAACTCACAGGCAAATAGATGGAACTAGAAGAAACCATCCTGAGTGAGGTAACACAGTCACAAAAAGACAAACATGGTATGTACTCACTCATATATGGGTTAGACATAGAGCAAAGGATTGCCAGCCTATAATCCACACCTCCAGAAAAGCTAGGAAACAAGGAGGACCCTAAGAAGGTATACATGGTCTCCTGGAGAAAGGGAAAGGGACAAGATCTCCCAAGCAAATTGGGAGCATGGGGAGGGGAGAGGGAGGTAGGGAGAAGAAGGCAGAGGTGGGCATGAGGGAACAGGAAGGTTGAGTCAGTGAAAGAATAGAGGAGAACAAGAAAAGAGATACCATAATGAAGGGAGCCATTATGGGTTTAAAGAGAAGTCTGGCACTAGGGAAATGTCCAGAGATTTACAAGGATGACCCCAGCTAACAATCTAAGCAATACTGGAGATGCTACCTTAAATGCCCTTCCCCAATAATGAGATTGATGACTACCTTCTATGCCATCCTAGAGCCTTCATCTAGTAGCTGATGGAAGCAGAATCAGATACCCATAGCTAAACACTGAACCAAACTCCTGGGGTCCAGTTGCAGATAGGGAGAAGTGATGAGCAAAGGGGTCAAGACTAGGCTGGAGAAACCCATAGAAACTGCTGACTTGAACAAGGGGGAGCTCATGGACTCCAGTCTGATACCTGGGAAACCAACACAGGACTGATCCAGATTCCCTGAATGTGGTGTTAGTTGGGAAGACTGGACAGTCTATGTGGCCTCTGGTAGTGGATCAGCATTTATCCCTGGTATACAAATGAACTTTTAAGGCCATTCCCCATAGAGGGATACTCCTCAGCTTAGACATATGGGAGAGGGCCTGGGCCTTGCTCCAAATGATATGAAAGACTTTGAAGATTTTCCGTGGAAGACCTCACCCTCCTGAGGTAGCAGATAAGGGAAGGGAGGGAGGAGTGTTTGTGGGGGATACAAGAGAATGAGACGGTGCAGGAACTGGTACTGATATGCAAAACACACTTGTTTCTTATATATATATATATATATATATATATATATATATATATATATATATATTGTTTTCTTGTGAGATATTTAAGGAATTTTAGGCATAGAATCCTGTCATCTGTAGATAAAGATACTTTGATTTCCTCCTTTCCAATACACATCCTTCTAATATATTTTAGGGTCTTATTTCCCTATGTAAGACTCAAGCATTATAAAGTAAAAGTATAGAGGGAATGGCCTCTTGTTCTAGAGTTAGTGGAAATAGTTTGTGTCTCTCTTTAAACGTGATGCTGGTTGTGGGTTTGTATGTTGCCTTTCTAATTTTGAAGTATGTCCTCTACATACAAAATTTTCCAGAAACCTTATCATCAAGTAATTTTGGGTTTCTTTCCAAGACTTTTTGAGTACCCAATTTGAGAATCACATAGTTTCTGTTCTTGAATCTATCTATGAGATGGATTACTTACTACAATTTATGGATGTTGAAGAATCCCTACATCTCAAGGATGCACTCAATGTCATGTTGGATAATGTTGTTTATTTATTTATTTATTATAGAATTTATTTTGCAAGTATTTCCCTGAGAAATATTATACCCATTTTAATTAGAAGGTTGACCTATTACATTTTTTGTTGGTAGGATTATTTGGTTTTGGTCAAATAATTCATTTGTCCTAGACATTACATGATCTGAAAATTTCCTATACTTGGCAATTTCAAATGCTACTATTAACTGTTTACCCTGTTCCTTTTATCGTCTTATGTTCTGTTACAAATCTACTTAAAATTCCATGATTTATTCTCAAAATGTATGCAGCATCAGTCAATTCAGCCTCTAGGAATTTTTTGCATACAATTATTCAACTTTATGAAATAACCTTAAAAGTACATCTCTACTGAGTTTCATACTTGCACATCTCTGAACTATAGAGAGCAGGAAATACCATTTTCCCATTGGAATCAATCTATGACACATATTGTTGTATGTGAGACATATGAATTTCTTACTTCTTTATGTGTTTGGTTTGAGTATTTTGCCTGAATGTAGGTCTGTGCACCAAATGTGTCTTTTGTCCACAGTGTCCAGGATGTGGTGTCAGATACCCTGGAACTGTAGTTACAGACAGTTAAATGCCATCATTTGGGTGCTGGGAGTCAAACCAATTCCTCTAAAATAGCAGGCAGTGCTCTTAACTATTATGACATCTCTACAACCCCTGAGTTTCTTAAGGCAAATATATTATCTATTAGTATCTATTTCAAATACAGTTCTGGGCACCAGGAGTGTGATCCTGAGCCAGATTAATGGTTCAAGTGTCAGGTTAATACAGCTCCAAACAGATTGAACATAGATGCATGTATGTCAATTCCACACATAAATTTCTCTTGAACAAATAAATCTGAGATTCCTTTCAAGACATTTAAAAACTATTACCTAAGTAAAATATGGCTTGCAATCATACAAAGGTACCACGCATGGGTTATCTCACGGATAAATTTTGGTTGTAACTATTAACTACGAATGCAAAATCTGAAGAACATTGTCTTTTCAATTTTCTTATGCATGATTTCTACATCAGTCCATGGGTTAAAAAACAAAGGTAGGAACCTCATCATTAATGCACACACTTGCCTGTTCCATTGGAAATTTGATTTTCTGGGCAGAGGCTACAATCAAAACAGCAGATAGCCTTGCCTTCCTGAAGAGTTTTTCTGAATCCAGGAAGACAACTTTTACTGCATACAGATACTGGAGTCTGAGGAAATTCAAGATGTGAATAAATCTAAGAATTAATCTGGTAACTGAATTTTATAAACCCACATTTAACTAATTAATGGATATATAAATACACTCTATAATAGGATATACACATTTACACCTAAATATACATTGAAACACACATGTATGTTAAGAGTCATGTATATACATGGGGAAGAATTGTAAATACTTGGTGATATTTAAGTTATAAAAAATTAAGTTAGAATGTGGAAATTGAGTTTGTAAATGTGCTACTGTAGTCATCTTTTAATTTGTGAGGAAACTTGAGACTAAGCCATGTTTTTTAGTCTTCTATGATCTGTAAAGCATAATGTGACATTCCACCCACCTCTTTAATACCTGTGCTCCACTCTATCCTGTCCTCTGACAGTGACAGTTGTTGACCACTTGGAAAATATGGGGAAAATGTTCCTACTTTCACTTTATAGCCAAGACCTTGTGGGAAATTCCAGAAGTTCAGAATGTCATACTCCATATGAACTTGTTGTGAAGGATTCAAATTTACTGGGTCCCCAATGGGATTTGTGAATTGAATGGTCTTCAGGATGTGATTCAGCTAAGAAAGATGCAAGACTTATTTGGGGCATGCTTATTTCAAAAAGAAAAAAAAACTGAATTATGCCATGTTCACTTTTTTGCATTAATCTGTCCTTCAAAATAAAAAGAAATCATAACTGCCATATAACAGAAAAAATGAATGATTATAGTGAATTAACAAAACAATCCTAGTACTATATGAATAGAATATTCAGAAAAGTCTCTGGTTCCTACTGGTTTTCAGCACGGATAACCAAAGTTTGTGATAATTTTAATTATGCACCTGTCAACTTAAAATCCCCAGGGAGTGTAATCAGAATTGCCTAGATAAATTTGGCCTCTGAGAGCATCTATGAGAAATTTTGTAACTTGGTTTAACTGAGGCACAAAGGCCCATGCTAAGTTTGAGTAGGATCACTTTAAGAGATGGGTCTTGACTATATATTAGAATGAGCCACTTGAACAATAGCATTCATGGAATAACACATTTTTCTTGCCACCTTGAATACTTTGGGATGATGGACTTCAAGCTGTAATTGTGAGTCATATACTGTTTTTCACTTCAGTGGCTTTTGTTCACATATTTTATCACAGCAAAAGAAAATAAGCCTAGGACAAGGTTTTATAGCAGATAATGCTTCATGAGATGTTTTAAGATTACTTTATTTGGCTGTACTCTACACTATTTAGGAACCTGAAATGTCAATCTCTCCTTGTTCATTTTTAGGAACTTCATGGGAAGAGGTTAGCAATTTATTGTTGAGAATCTTAGAAGGGCAGGGCACTGATGGCTGCTTTAATATAAATGTTTGCCCTTAGTTATTTATTTCCTATTATGATATTGACATTATGATATTGACATCTAAATTTTGATTTCTACCCCATCTACACTTTTGCTTCAGCCAGTAAAACTTTCTAGAAAACTTTCCTAAAGCACTTCTTTTAGAGTGCTTTTAGGGCCATTTAACTGAATTGATTTGGTAACATTCTATATTATACAAATAAAAAATTACCTTCCATGGGGGAAATTTCATTTTTTCTCCATTTTTCATTGCTTGCATATCTACTTGTTGCATAAGCATCTTGTGGAGTGTGTGTGCTACAGCATATACAGCATTGTATACATGATAACTGCCATCACTCATGGCAGTGTCAAAGTGGTACCAAGGTAACCATTCCAAGGAACCTCTAGATGAACAATTTTCTACTGATGTACAAGAATCCTTAGACATTGTACAATTAAAATAAATCTTCCACAATCTTGCAAGGAAAATGTCTTCTGGGTATTTGGATGGGGTGAATGTCTTTACAAAATCTTTAAAAGTAGAAACCTCTCCATGGTGTTGTGAAAAAATGAGAGTCCCATGAAATGAGTCAAGAATAAAATGTTTCATAGCAGAAAAGACTTCCCACTGTGAAGTGGTTACCCAGATTCTCCATGGGAGTACATATTCCCAAATACTGAAGAGCACACCTAAAGCAGAGTCCGTGACACCATAAATGACAATAATTTTTGCTGAGCTCATCACAATCTGAGTATAATATTGATGGGGCTCAATAATGTTATACCTATGGATGATTGGGATCATATTAATGAAGGCTACACAGAGTCCATTTTTTTCCATCTCTGGTATCAGTTCTGAGACAAACCAAATACCTTTCTCTTCTTCTGAGATGATCAGCCCTACCCAGTTCCATCTGAAATTAATCATCAATGAGACCATACCTAAGGCCAGAGAAGAGTCCTTGGTGGCCATCTGATATAGAGAAGGAAACTTCCTGGGGTCATTCAAATTTCCTTCATAAGTTCCAAATGTCAGCTAAAGAAAAGAGAACAGGGAGTGGGATGAAGGAAGAGGTTCAAGAATTTGCAGCCTCAATGAGTTTGAAAGAGTAGTTTAAAGTGTTAGAAAGTCAGATGTGTATATAAAGTTAACTCCAACATATAGAATATAATCCAAAAATTGAGATAAAATATTTACTCATGTCGCTTTGTGTCTTGGGCCCTTCCTGAATATTTCACAAAAGAAATGTGGGAATACTAATAATCTCAGAGTATGTAGCCTTAAAGACCATGTATTTCAAAAGGTTGGTTGATTTGTTTGTGCGTATGTATGTGTGTGTCTATACAAACATATGTGCCCATGTTTGTATAGGTGTACACATGTGTGTATACATGTGAAGGCTAGAGTGGGAAATTGCATATCCTCTACTTTCTTCCACATATTCTTGAGGCAAGTCTACTATTCATAACTTTGGGCCTGTGTGGAAGACAGGAAGCCACAGAGATTCTCCTTCCTCTGCTGTGCTATCATGAGGACATGAGTGATGCTATTGTCCAACCTCCAGTTCTCATGATTGCACAGAATGCATGCTTGACTCCTGAACCATAATCAATCCCAAGACTACATAATTTGAGTCATACAGAAATGGACTCATCTCCTTTATGTGTTTTCTTAGTAGCCAAATGTGGCATCAAAGAAGAATTCTTTTATTTCTTCCCATTCATATAATCTCACCTGTGGATATTTATAAAGTTCCAGAAATGTGCCAATTAAGGAAGAAATTTCCCATGTTGCCCCGGTGATTGCAGCCACAGATTTTTCCTCTCTTCTGCAGGTGTAGTTTGGGATGTTTCTGTGCTCCCCAGTGAGCCAAAAGAGGAAACTGTACATTGTCTCTATATTATGTGGTCCAGAAATGTAGATACCATACCCCAGAGACACATTAGGTAAAAGAAAGGGGTTCCTTTTGATCTCTTCAATGGCCAAAATCAAGGCTATTGCAAATTGATAGTTGTTGGAATTGATTCTGTGTAGAGGACATAGGGATCATTACAGAATAATCTTCAGTCACCATTGTCTTCAAAATGAATACAGTAACAGTCATATACTAAATGAAAACTTACCCTTACAACTTTCATATTGAAACCATATCTTGTTAATTAATGATGTTACAACATGAGAACATTTGGATGTCATTGGGGCTGATGTGATCATGTTTAGAGTTCAAATGGAGATTTCTGCCATTTAAATAACTGACCACTTCCTCATTTATTTTCTGTATGAGGCTAGAGCAAGAAGCCTATTTTCTATTAATGAAGCAGGCAGGCACTACATGATCGCCACATGCTTTTAACCTGCAGTTTCTATTCTTCATGAAAGTGATAAATATATTTTGTGTAATTCTGTCTATGAGGAGTCTGGATGTTGTGGGAAGTCAAATAGAACTAAGTATTTCTGAGAAACTCCTATGAAAGGAGAGAGGGAAATTCAGTTTTATTTCCTTGCCCAAGTTTGTTCTTGATGTGGCCCATCTAGGACTGGAACAGCAAAGGAGTCAAACTTGAATTTCCTGGCTCAGCTCCTCCAATTGGGCTGTGGTTATTAGTCCTAAGACTGCTGATTCTGAGATGCCCTGCGTTTTCTCTGACCACACTGCCTGCTTTAGCTTTCTGCTGACCTTGGTCATTTCCCTGCTGCAGATAGTATGTAGGATGCTGCACTTCTTCACAAACTTGCTTGCCTTAAGTCATCAGTTTACTCCAGACTTTCTGCCCCCAGTTATTGCTTTTGTCATTATATCCCTTGTCCTCATCCCTCCCACTTAACACTTGCTATTTGCGACCTTTTTCTTTCTGGTTCAGGTCAGTATGTTTGTTGTACATGTGAATGTAGTATGTATAAGCATAGAGTGTATACGTGGGACTGTATTTGGTGTGTGTGTGTGTGTGTGTGTGTGTGTGTGTGTGTGTGTGTGTGTGTGTATGCATTTGAGACATATCCAGGTATGTGCAGAAGCAGAGGCCAGAAGAGGGTGCTCGGTGTCTTCTACTCTTAGTACTTTATTCTCTAAAGATAAGGTCTCTCAGTGAATGAAGCTTTCCCTTTTAGCTACAATTACTGCCCAGGAAGTTCCTGGTTATGTGTCTGCCTTCAGGCACAAGGTTTACAGGCACATACAGCTACACTATGTTTTAATGTAGGGGTTAGAAAATCTAACTTGGGGCCTCATGCTTGTCCAGAGTATGTCTCCCACTGATCCATCTCCCCAGCTTGAAGCAAAGTTTTTTTTTCAGTGATGAACTAACTCTCAAATCTGTATCACACACCCTTCATATTATACACAAAGAAAATAACATAAAATTTCTATCTCTCTCTCTTGTCTCTTTCAGCTTTTCTGTTTTCAAGTTAGATAATGGCATAGCAAGCACTTAAGAAAGAAATGATTAGATTTTTGTATTTTTCTAAAAAGTGGGTCATTTAGATTATAATTATTAGTTTTATCTGTACTCTAACTTCCTTGTATACCTACCTTCACCACATGCATTTCATTGGTATTTACAATATACTCTCTGATTCTTCCATATAATTAAAAATTTCATGTGGTCAGGGTCTGACATTCTTATGTAATTCTACCCTCTATTGTTAGCCAAAGTATTTATTTGTACTAATAATGCTTTTCAATGAACTTGTTTAGCTTTCACCAATCATATTTGACTTTGGAACTTTGTATTACATATTTAAGCCATATTCGAGGGCCTGCAACCTGAACAAGGAGGGCCCCCAGACTGATAGCTGGGAATCCACCATAGGACTGACTCAGGCCCCCCTGAACATGGGTCTCAGCCAGAAGGACTGAGCAGTCTAAGGGACCTCAGACAGTGGAGCCAGGATGTATTCCTGGTGTACAAAAGGGTCTTGTGGACACATCCCCCATGGAGGGATAACTGCCTTAACCTAGAGACAGGGGAAAAGTCCTAGTCCCTACTTCAAATGACTTGACAGATTTACATGACCCCACCTGGATGACATTGCCCTACATGTGGAATTGGGGTGGGTGGGGGGATGGGAGGGGAGGGTGGTCAGGGTGCATGTGAGGGGGCAGAAAGGGTAAAAGGGAAGAGGGAGGGAGGGAGGGAAGGAGAAGGGACTGGGATCGACATGATTAAAAAAAAAAAAAAGAATGTAGCATTGAGAGATCCAAATAAGATTTAAGATTTAAGAAAAAAAAAAAAACAAAACTATTCAGGGAAGAGAAATGCATATATATATATATATATATATAGTGAATGATAAATATAGGTCAGAGCTACAAACTCTGCAAAACATTCAAAAAAAGAAAAAAAAAACTAAATCCCATTCCTGTATGGCAATGCTACATTGGATATTTTATTTTCTCTTTCATAGCTAATATGAGAGCTCCCAAATGCAAGTGTTTTTAGTTCTTGGTAATCAGGTGACAAATCACTAATTTTTGGAACTTTGTTAAAGCTTTACACTGATTGTGCACCCATGTTTTCATCTAATTTCACTTATTTGATTATGTCTTGTAAATTTCTGTTTACTCAAATTCACAAGTTAATATAAAATTATAAAATACAAACTTTGTAAAGATTTATTACATGTTAATATTAACAAGGGAGGGGTATTTTCCTCAGTTTAGCCATGGGCAAGGTAACATTCTCATGTAAAGACCCTTTGGGTTTTAAGATGTTCAAAGTGTACTATATGTATGTATCAATTGCCATGATGAAAACTGTTACTGAGTACAATCAATAAGTGCCAATGAAGTCTGGGAGAAAGGGCATATTTCCAGTATGCTTTCATGTAGTTTGATTTTGAAAAACCTTTAATTTTCAAGCACAGTCTATAATCCTACATTTTCTGAAAGAGGTCTGAAGGGTATCTGAAATAAATTAAGTGTTTCACATTTGTGAAATGATAAAAGATAATGTACAGTCCCTGTGATGTCACTACTCATCTTCTATAGATTCAGAAAATCTGAGTGTGGGCTTTCCAGTATCTCTACCCTTTTCCAAAGGCTGTGGTAATACATGGAAAATTTGAGGTCCATTATTTTCTAAAAGTGATAACATCAATGAAATCAATATTTATAGAAATTTCTAGAACAATTATGCATATTGTTTACTCAGTGGTTATCAAAATGTTAAGCTAATACCTACCTGAGAGGAGGATTAAACATCTGAAACATTATGGGCTTGGAATTTCATTTTGGAGCTGCAGAGATGGCTCAGCATTTAAGAGGACTCTTGTAGCAGACAAGGTCAAATTCCTTGCCCACTTAGAGTGGCTCCTGACTGTAACTCTGCTTCCAAATACTCTAAAAACTTTTTTCTGGCCTCTGTGTGCACTGTATGTATGTGGTGGGGAGGCATAAATGCAGGATAATTTTCATAGACATACAGTAAAATATTTAGAAGAGAAAATGTTCCCATTATATAAAGATAATATGTGTTTGTAGAGAAAAAAATGGCAGACTCAGTGAGTGAAGATTCTTCATCTGACTCCCAATGAAAATGCAGTCTAATCAGTATAACAACAAAGGAGATGAACAGAGAATCCTCAGAAAGTCAAATATGACATTTTCCAAAAAGTGGATCATATTGTATGCATTTTGTGTATAATGTTATCTGTGTCTGAATATAACATGGTATAGGACAGAGTGGTTAGGGTGAGAGGGGAGGGAGTAAATGGGTGAGAATGTTCTCTTAGTTACTTTTGTATTGTTTTGATGAATACAATGAACAAAAGGAACCTGGAATGGAAAGTTTTCCTTCACCTTACAAGTCTCAGGTCACACTCTACTTCAGGAGAAAGTTCATGCAGGAAATTAAAGAGAGGGCCTGGGGAAATCTGCTTACTTGGCTTTTGTTCCCCATGCCTTGCTCAGCCTGCTTCTTATTGAACATAGAACACCAACCCAGGGGCAGCACTGCACACAGCATTCTGAGCCATCCTGCATCAATCACCAGTCAAGAAAGGACACAGTGGTCTTGCTTACAGGGTAATCTAGAGGTGATGATTTCTCAAAAGAAATTCCTTCCTTACAAATGTGTCAAGTTGACATCAAACTAACAAGCAAATATGGTTGTAAATATTTTCAGGAGGCAATGTGGAGGGTTAATATATTACAGTTACATTGCCTGCAAAAATATTTCCTTCCAAAATTATGCAAACTGGACACATATGAAATAGTCATATTATATACTTAGATACACATATGTCAGGCAAAAGTGCTTTTCTTAATTTGGGAAGAATTTTACACGAGTATGTATTGTACTTTGATCAGTGCTACCTTCCACCTCTTATTACACCTCCTACCATATACCCCTACTAACTTCAAATCTTCTTGTTTAAAATACTAAATCCATTTAGTGCTACTAATGCATGAGTGAACACGTCCAATCTGTGAAGATTCACATCCAAAATAAAGTGAGCATCACTTCCCATTAAATCATAACACTCTCCTTCCCCCAAGACACAAGGGGCAGCAAGAAAGAGAGGCTGGTAATTCAAGATAAAATGTTTTAAGGAAGTCTAAATGAAGAAGTTAAGAACAGCATTAATAAACAATTCATTTGTAAAATAAACACCTTAGCAATATATATTTAAAAGGACCAGACTCAGCAATGGTAAGATCAATGAACATAGTCTCAAGGTCTCAAACAACACAAGTTCAAAGAGGAACCATGTACAGCAGTGACTTTATTAATACACTACTTGACACTAAGCTTGTGCTGACATTAAAAACTTTTCATTGTTGTTTAAAAAATACATAATTAGGACCTCAGTGGCTCCCTGAAACACAGACAACTGCACTGATCCATCCAAGAGAGGATTCCCATGACACAGACATGAACTGCAATGATTAGACCAAGAGGCAAAGATACTGCCTGTACCAATTGGAGGAAGAGATGGGCAGACACATTGCAAGAATACATTTAACAACCTCAAGAGCAATGTGGTACCACGAGAACCTAGTGATCCTACAACAGGAAACCTGAACAT